GCAGAGCCTTGCTACCTCAAAAAGTCAGTTTTGAGGGATTATTTAGTAAAAGGAGCTCTGTAGGCACTTACGCCGCTTGGAATGGCGGCTTGACTCTGGGATGTTCTGCTTGGCCTCTGTCAGATGCTGCTGTAGGTATGATTTAATTTGAACAGATTCTTAAATTGAAGGCTCACCAGGAGGTGGCATGAGCAGGCTTCAGAAACCAAGCTCTATCTGCGCCACAGGCCCTGGCTGTACAGCAGGGTGGTGATGCCCCTCTGACGTAAAGGCGTTTCTGCCAGAGCCGCTCAGTCCCTAGAAATGCTGTGTTGGTCTCGGTTTAAGACTGACTGGGCAATGGTGGAGATCCTCCAACTGTTTGAGGGACAGTCCCAAGCTTTCTAGGGCAGTCAGAAGCAGCGGTGGTGTTGGCCGCTGAGTTACATCACGTTCCCTCTGCTTCTTTGGAAACGTTGTGGCTGCTTGGCTTAAGTGGGATGGGAGATGGGCATTTTTGCTTCCGAAGCATTAAAAGCCCTGGTGTGTTCCCAGATTTCTGAACTCCCACGGAGCGTTCGTTCTGCCTGTGCCTGGCTCCTGCGGTGGCTGACTGTCGGGGTGACTGCTGGGCTTGGGTGGCGGTGCCCGGTTGGTGTCTTGGGGTACTTCTGGAAGGTAACAGTGCATTTTGGGTTTTTTTGTCCCTGCAGAGGATGTCACCCCCATCCCCTCTGACAGCACTCGCAGAAAGGGTGGTCGCCGTGGACGTCGCCTGTAAACAACGCTGCACCTTTCGTCATTAAAGCTCTCTTTTAAACCTCTTTTCCGCTGTGTGTTTTCTCGCTGAGGCATGCTGGGAAGCTGAGTGGCTTCAGCTCAGGTACATCCCCCAGCAGTTCACCCTCCCGAGCTGGGCTCCTGGTTCGGGTTGGGGTTGTTGTCAGTACTGCTGCACCAGTGGTGCTTTTTGATACAGAAAAGCTTCTGAAGCGCTGCAATTGCAGCTCCCTCAGCTGCTCTCATGTTACATTTATCCTGCCAGAGGTATTTTAAGAAAAATGGCTCCTCGCTTCGTCACACCCTGCTTCTGCACTGATGTTTGCCCTCCACAGAAGGTGCTGCCGTCACCTGGAATAAATGCCCCTTTCTGCCTTTGCCAATGTTCTCTTCCTGGCTCTCCAGGCTTTGAAATCGCTCCCGTTTCTGTCACTTCCTTGGCTGTAGCGGGATTTTAGACCAGGAGAAGATCCGTGGGCATACAGTACTTGAGGTGTAGTTCAAGGTAGCCAGGTTTTGTGTGCTTGTGGTGTTGAGGTTCTTTATGCTTGTGGGTAAGATAGCCGTGGCTCCTACAGCTCGAGGGATGAAATTGTCCAGATTCCTCCTGTGGAATGCTGGCTGGAGCCCTCCTACAGCGTAGCGCCTGTTGCGACGTGGGTCTGCTTTGTGCTCTCCTGTCACCTCCCCAGCAACGCGGCGGGCGGGCGGTAGGAGCTGGTTGTAGAGGCAGGGCTCACCCCTCGCCCTCGGCTGCGGTAGGAGCTGGTTGTAGAGGCAGCTACACCTCGTCGTGCTGTGCTGCCACTGCGGTGGGCGAGTGAGCTCAGCTGGAGCTGGTGAAAGGATTGTCCAGGAGCCCTTGTGGTCGGGCTTAAGTGATGGTTACTTGTCGGAGCTGGTTGAAAAACCTTTGGGTTTTTGGCGTGGTTATGTGGCTGATAGGATTAGTCTTTGATGGTGCGTGACCTACAAGATGAAGGGGGAAGGCGATGTTCTGGTGTCCTGGGCTCTTGGAAGAGGGCTGCCTCCGGATCCCAAGGCTCAAGAACCTCACTGCTTCCACGTGGCCTCCTTCCCACACCTCTGCATCTCAAAATGCTCCGTGGGGGATTCCTTCGCCTGCCCGCTCCTGAGCCTCCCTCCCTGCAGGGGCTGGGGGTGCTGTGGGAGCCACACCGCTCTCAAAGCGGGCTCTGTTCTGGTAGAGCTGCTCAGCTTGGATGGGATCTGGGGCCCGTTGCTCCTCTCAAGCTTGTCTTTGGTTGTCGAGTGCTAGCTCTCACCTGGTAAAAGGGACGAGTTTCACAGCGGAAGAAACCAGGCTGGCTGCAATGAAGCCATGGTGTGTCTTTGGTGTCTGTAGTGAAACCTCGTGGATGCTTGTGGTTTCAAAGTGAGTGGTGATCTCCTGGAGGTGTCCCTGCTGCGGGAGAAGAAAGCTGGGCTTGCGAGCAAGCTCGCTGCTGCTGGGTTTTCTGCAAGCTGTTGCTTAATACATCACTTCCCCTTTCTGTGGAAAACAATCTCTGCCTGGACAGATGCTCCAAAGCCAGCATTTCCCTTGGCGCAGCTGTAGTGTTTTACATGTAATTTTATATGTGGCTGTGGAAAACTCCAGAACAAACTTCCCTTACTCTCTTAAAAGCGCGCTCTTTGCTGTTCAAATTACTGCTTTCCTGTACGTGAAGCGTGCTTTGAACTCTGGAGAAGGTGCTGAAAACCCGAAACGGGCAGCGGCTGAGCCAACGTGGAGCTGAATGGAGGAGGGGACAGGGCAGAGGCACGAAGGTGGGGAGTGGTGCTAACAGCTTTAGTCAATTTTTTTATTATTTTTTTTTTTTCCCTTTACTTG